TCAATCATGTAATTATTACTGTTGTTAGTGTGGTCATCAACGTTATTGTCACTATCCTTACTATCATCACTATATTCAGTAGCGATGGCATCTGATTGACGTTCGCCAGGGGATACCGACATTCGGATTCCGACCGAACAATATTGAAAATTCGGTAGGAATTCCGAACGTCGGAAATGCAAAATATGAATTCGGTCGGACTCCAATCGAGGAATTGCGAAGCTTCGTCAGAATTTCGAACGTTGCATTCTCAAAATGTGAATTCGGTCGAATTCCGACCAAAGAATTCCGGAATTCCATCAGGATTCCAAGTGTCCGAATGTTGAAAGGTCGATCCGGTCAGATTCCGACAAACCGAGTTTTCGCCTTGACGTCATCATTGATAATCAGTATTATTGTAATGATTAGAAATATGATTTTACATTTTCTCGTTAGCACCATTACTGTATTCACTTTAACCACTGTTTCCATTGCCACTATCATTACGACTGGTATTATTGCTGATCTCATGCTGTGCTCAGCTTAAGCAATGTGTTTACCTGAATGATTATTCGTTCAGACATGTCTGACAGCATTTTTGGATCGATAAACTTACCGCATGAATGTTACTAAGATATTGTGAAATTCATTCAAATTTAAAAAAAGAAACTCCGAGCATAAAGTGTTGAAGAAACGAGTACCGAGTATAAAGTGTTTCATTGTCCATATCTCCCCGCCAGTGTTAACTTTGAAGCATTTGGAGGAGATAGTGTATTCACTGAGGACGATTCATTAAGAGAAACATAAAGATTTCTTCAAATTTCACGCGGTGAGAAATGCTGCTGAACAGGTAAATTGCACGCAATTATGAGTGCTGCATAACTGGACTTGCACCTGTTTAGTTTGTATCGACGCAGGGATAGGGAACCATGTCGATCGCTCATGCAGGTTTTCATCTCAACATCTGAACATAATATGATGTGATTTACATATTCACTAGCACTGCTAAGGAAAGCAGTTCGGATGAGTCGAGGAATTTATACCTCCATGAATCGATTCATGAAATGTGATTGCGAGAAGGCTCATTGCCACCGAAAGCAAAGTAAACTGTGAGCAATAAAACAGCACAAACTTGCATCTAAATTGGTGGCTTTTGTAAGCACGAAATCGCCGATTCCAATATTATAATAATGATCGATATCAATTTTAATTCACCAACCACATGCAAATGTTTCATACTTGTGTCTCCACATTTAACTATAATACAACAGAACTTATCTGTCAGTTCCTTTTGTTTTAGCCCAGATTCTCCAGATTCAGAAAAGTATATGTATTGCCGAGCGATTTTGCTTCCGTGAGGAGATGTAGCTGNATTTTAATTCACCAACCACTTGCAAATGTTTCATACTTGTGTCTCCACATTTAACTATAATACAGCAGAACTTATTTGTCAGTTCCTTTTGTTTTAGCCCAGATTCTCTGAATTCAGAAAAGTATATGTATTGCCGAGCGATTTTGCTTCCGTGAGGAGATGTAGCTGACTTTCTAAGCGTATCCCAGGTGGCTAGGCGACGCTTGTTTCTAGACCATGTATCACTATTGATCAATCTGTACAATACTATGGCAGCATTAGGGTCACCATCTTCACAGTAACCGTGTCATCAGGTTTGCTCTGTAACATGGTAATTTCTTCACATCATTGAACTCAACAGATTCTCTAGATTCAGAAAATCATATATAATGTCGGGTGATTTTGCTTTCATGAGGAGATATAGCAGATTATCCGAACTTAGCCCAAGTAGCTGGGCGGCGCTCGTTTCAATGCATTGTATCACAATTAATCAATCTGTACAATACTATAGCAGCAATAGGTCATCATTTTCAAACTAACCCTATGCTCAGGTTTGCACAGTAACACTTTAGATACTTATTTTGAGAGAAATCTAGAAACACTTCAAAACTCCGAGAAATTTCCGATTTGAAATGATAAAAACACAAACTCAGGAGTGAATGTTCATGACTTAAACGATCTGAAAGGGACTTAACTGATGACCATATCCAACTCGCTCATCTGAGCGGCTGTATAGTGAAGGTTTGCAAATATTCCTCTGAGGGCAGAAATTTCCATACAATCTCTAAGCAATTTCCGTCAATATGCAAAGCTAAGGCAGGCTCTCTCAACCAAGGGTGCTCGCACTCCCAAGGTGTGCGAGATGGTATCCGGGGGGTGCGAGATAAAGTTTTAATTTTTGTCCAGTAAAGTAGAAGGGGGGGGGGACGAAATTCAACGCATACATGTGCGTAAAGTAGACGAGGGTGGACTTTAATGAATATTTTTGAAAATGCTCGAACGTACTCCAATGATACACTTATGCACACAACGGACACTCATTAGTGGATGATCGGGGAAAAAACTTTGAGAGGCACAGCAATAAAGCATTGCCAACCACCAGTAATCAATGATCTTCATTGCAAATGAAACCAAACGGCATAGCGAACCCGAACTCCCGTCTAATGAACATTCTTCATTGCGTACGTGATAAGCCGAATGAACATTTTCACGAAATATCTTTAAACTTTGTGATGATTTATACATCGTACACGTTCGTTTTTGTTTTTCTTGCGAAAGTACCGCTCTGAGCTTTTGATTAGTGATGGTTTTGATTTTTGATTCTGATTCTTTTGATTTTCAATTTTATAAATATCCTCTCTAACAGATCGTCCAGTATTCACCTCGTGACTGTGGTTATCAGAAGAAGCTGTTTTGTTTCTTCGTCGGCGCATGATTTGATTGGGAATACGGGATTGCCATGACCGGGCCAAGGTTTTTTACCGCGTCGTCTAGCCTTTTTACTGTGCTGTTGTATTCGAATTGTGGCCCGGCAATTCTTGGTCCCCTCTAATAAGTCTTATTCATTCCAACCTACCAACGAGCCCGGTAGGTTGGAATCCACATTCCTGATTAAATTCGAGATCGAGTGTTGGCTTGAAAATATTGAATGTCTTCATGAAAGTTATCTCATTCATTTTTCAGAATATATTCGTGAGCTAAGAGAGGTGTCCTCTTCGTTGCGATGACGATTAGTGTGTGTGAATCGGATGATAATTTGAACGGTGAGCAAATCGATTTCTTACTTTTTAATTAACAATCTCTTCAGGAACATGTGTTTTAAGCAGATTCCTTTTTGTTTGATTCCAGTCATGCCTGAGAAATTTGGCAATTTCCAATAATTGGTCAGAACGACGGCAATCTTGTAGTTAACATGTTTGTGAAAAGAAACAGTGCTGCTAGCTTCAATGTGAACCCTGGATGATCTTTAGTGTTGCCGCTCAGGCTTCAGTGTAAACCCGAGGTAAACATCAGTCTTAAGTTAAGGAACCTCAGTTCGCAGTAAGTCTCAGCCAAAAGCAGGGTCAGCTTAAGCTTAAGGTCTGTTTTTAGCCTTTCATAAGGTCCTCTTTCATAAACACGTTAGTTACAAGGTTGTCCAGAAATGCTTCTGAATAATGCCAGTCGTCAGCCATGTCTAGTGGAGATGAATCAGAGTGTGCGTCAGTTGCACGTAAGCGTTTATATTCAAAATTTTGAGTTATAAACAAACGTGGTTTGTTCATTTTCCGCCGTGTTTCTTCGTTTTGTACTCATTTGTAAACCCATGCTGGTTTCAGATGACACAGACCGTTCATATGTTCTGGAAACATCATCAACAGGTTTCTACAGTGCTTATGAAGCCAAAGAGGTTTCCATTCATCCATCTTAACAAAAAATCCTTATTTTAAAGCTGAATCGTTTATTCTCATATATAATCCAAATTTTCCCTCATTCAGTTTGCACGGCATGAATAAGCTGAAGGATTCCTTTTCAGCATTCTTAGGCGATGCTCATATGATGACCCACAGAAAAAGACTCGTGAAATGTGCTTCACTGTTCATGTTATCACTTGCCATCGTTAATTTGCGAGTGTCTTTGCGAAATTTGCCTCTGATTTGTTGAAATTCAGGTGTTGGGACGTGGATTGGCGTCAACTGTGCGAAAATGTGTTGAAAAAGGTACGGGTTTGATGTTCGCTGTAAAAATTGTCGATATCAGCACTGAAAAACAAACAGAACATGAGGCTGTACGACTTCTTAACGAGACAATTAGTGAAGTCAATCTGCTCAGGCAACTGTCTGGACATCCGTCAATCAGTAAGTTCCATTTTTTTATACAGTGTTTTTTCAATTTCTTGCATTCGTTTCGTGTTAATTTGTCTTCATTTTCTTCCATTCCACTGATTCACATTACTTTCAATCCTTCCTCGCTTTATTTTCCCCGTCAGTGAATGGCTTCATATTGAACTGGTCAATATTGTCCTGATGATTAACTTTCTATTGATTGACGCGTTGTCAATATCTTACAGATCATTCTGTCGTTGTTTTCACATGATCAGTCAAAATATGTAAAAAAAAGACGTGGCGGCAACAACGTTGTTTTTTAGAATAGTTTTATCAAAGTCCGGAAAATGCCAAACTATGTTTTCATCCACCACTAGATATACTTTTCTTGTAAATGATTGTCAAACTTCGGAAAACAATCAAAAACCATGAATTTCATTGCTTGTAGAATTTGCTTAGTCATTATCACGCAAGCTTTGAATTAGTCATTATCACAAGCTTTGTTACATTATCACAACCTATGAAGCACGGTGACGACTTCTAATGAATCATACCCCCGCAGCCGACCTTATCCAATCGATCTAATACTGTCAGCAGTTTCCAAATTATCGATATGCATGAATTTTGAA